AGAGCTTGAAGGCTCGGAACTGTTTCTTCCACCCCAGGCCTGCTTTTCAACCTTGGCCCAGAAAAACAGGTGGGGTCGAAATGAAAGTCCGGATCCGGATCCCTCAGTGCCAGGCGTGAAGACCCAGAGACGTTTGCATGGCTTTAGCTTCACTTTGAATCCCAACAAAGGCTAGCCTGAAGAAAATACACGGGCCCCATATGGCAGATGCCAGTATTCAAGCGAGAGTCAGTGATCCATGCTGGTTTCAGAAGGTTTTGGTCTCCAAATGCGGACCCCCGCCCAAAAATAGATAAATCAATCAATTCAAATACAATACTAATACAGGTGTCTCTTTCGGTTTCCCTTCCAACATGCAGTACCGAACCCTAAAACACACAAAGAAACACACACGCCCCAAGGTGCGGTGAAATTGGGCCAGAATTGATTTGATGCAATGATCGCGTGCCACCCATGACTCATGACTCAGGTGCTAGCACGAGCAATGGCCCCACATTTCCAATATTTATACAAGGGCTGCTTAATATTGAGGTCAAAAACTGTGATTTCTCGACTTGTGCTGATCATTGTTGTTTTATTATGCTCGGTAATTTATAACCAGGCTTTTGCTTGATACTGTACATACCAAGTGCCTCAAGCAGCGTGAACTTTCTTTCGCACTAGTGAAAGACACATTTGCAGAGTTGCCCATGTTGTTTGAGCTTGGCCATGTATCATCTACACTGATTTCCTTCTAGCTCGCCCAGTCCTGTGCAAAGAATGTGTCTTTGTCGCATGAAGGATGCAAGACTTAACAGGCGTAGTTGTTCCAGGGACGCAGGGTTGCGCCATGTTGCGCCACAGCCGTGTGCCGCAGATCCGTCATACGAGTCAAAGGGTATTGCAAAAAAGGGTATGTTTTCGCCCCCAATGCAGCCACCAGAGGATAATCATGTTTCTCCCCCCTATCTTGACACCCAGACAACAGTGGATCAGCACTTCAGGATCTTACTTTTACCGAGACATCTTTTGGCCGACGTCGCTTGCTTCCCTGGGAGCTGTTTTATCAGCTGCCGGCACTGTCCGAATTGGTTTCCGCATGCAAGCGGCTTTAGTTCAGGCGCTAGTCTCAATGGGTCTATGCGAGTGAGGCTCATGACTCATGATGCATTCACCTTCTCAGGGCGCCCGAAGATTCCCGACTTGGGAGGTAGCCAAGAGACACTGCTCAATTCTTTGTTGGGGGCCTGCTGATTTTTTCCAAAGCAAAGCTCAAGGACATCTCCTGTCCAATATTGGGGGTCTCTACTGTAAACATAGGTGCTGCTTGGCTTTCTTCACAACCACAAGATTGTTCCCAATCTTACGTACCCATAGACTTGACGGGACTTTGACCCTGAGCGTTGATGGCTTCAGCCGCTGCAAAGGAACAAGCTTGCAGCCCAGAGTCTTGGTGTTATACTTCCGTTTTCCCCTGGATCGGTCCAGTATTCTGCACAAGCCATAATGAGCTCGCCGATTGGGAGATACAACAAACTCATCCATGATAAATGCTCTTACTATCTCTTACTTGTGTTGTTTACTTGCGCTGCATGAACTGCAGTAATTTGCACATATTATGGAGTGATGGTCAACGGAAGCAGCTCTTTGGATGTGTCCTCAAAAGATCGGGGCAAACGTCGGGACACTCATTTGCCACGAGGTGTCCCATTGATACCCCAGGCCTTTGCAAGGCCGGATGAAAGCCTCAATCGCAAAAGATGGGGTCACCCCAAGTCTCGGTGCACCTCATTTTGTTACTGCGTTATGCATGTTGAACTTTTTCCTGAAGCTTTGCGGAATTAGTTTGCAGGAGAAGTCCTGCTTCCTGCCTGCTTTGCAGCTGTCCTGCGACTGCAACACATGCCAGGGCACTCACGTCCGGTCACAGCGCATCCAGCAAGTACAAAAACGGTGAGTAACTTAGTGGGACAAAGGTGGCACCGATTTCCCTTCTTTGCAGTGTGACAAGCGCGATCCCATGATGTTTCTGATCTACAGCCATTTCCTGTGCAAGGGACATTGTTTTTGCAAAAGCCTACCCGATTCTTTTCTCTCAGGTGTTCGAACAACACATTGTGAGTTTTACCAGCTATTTGACAGTTGTGTTTCTCTAAGGTTCTCTTCATCCGACTTGTTTTGGGGGCACGAGCCAAGTCGCTGGCTCTGTCCATTTTCACACCAAAGGGGGAGGGCTCCAACCATAAAGTCCTGAGCTGTGGCTTCATTTCAATACTGCAAACCCTCCAAATGGTTGTATAGCTTTTGGTTCCTTTATTTCAGGTACGTCAGGTCAAGCAAACCTGAAGTTGGGTGGCTTTAATTGGTGGGCTCCTTGCGGAAAGAAAAGGGAGGGAAGTATTGACAGACTCTTGCGTGTCTTCAAATGGTGAGATTCATTTGGATGAGTCTCAAAGAAAAACCGGGTGGGATGGAGGGGATGGAGGAGGGGATGAGGGGGATGGAGGTGATGGAGGGGATGGAGGGGATGGAGGGGATGGAGGGGATGGAGGGGATGGAGTTTGGGGTAGGGATGGGACGGAGGGGATGAGGGGGATGG